TTGCTGTAATGTGCAAATTTTCTTCAATACTAGAGTAAGTAGAATAAGAACTTACTTAAAGAAAGACGTCAATGTGAAGGAGGTATTTGAGCTGAGACTTGGGGTTGACAAATAAGCCATGTGACTGTTTGGGAGAAGAATGCTCCAGGTGGTAAGTACAAAGGCCCTGTGGTAGGACAAGCTTGGTGTGTTCAAAGAACAGTGAGGAGGCTGGAGGGGCAGGAACAAAGAGAGGAGGGGGACATGGGCCACAGAAAATGGGGAGCTCCATAGGCCTTTGTTTTTTTCTCCGCAACTGGAGATGGAACAGGAAAATGACGTGATTTGATTCCTGTTTGTAAAAGTATCCTTTGGGCCATTGTGCTGACAATAGACCAAGGGACCCGGGACAAAGAGAGAAGACTCAGAATATTCTTGTGACAATCCAGAGGAAAGTCCAGGGTGGTTTGAACCAGGCTGTCATGGTGGTTTACAGGCACACCCTGGAGACACTGAGGGTTCAGTTCCAGACCACGGCGATCAGGTGAATATCGTGATACAATGAGTCTCTCTCATTGTTTGGTTTCTTATTGCACATAAAAGTTACGTTGGCACTATACTGTGGGTCGTCGTGATGTGCTGTTGAGTTGTTTCCAACTCATAGCGACCCTGTATAGGGTTTCCGAGGCTGTAAATCTTTACGGGAGCAGCAAGCCTCATCTTTCTCCCGTGGAATGCCTGGTCGTTTTGAACTCCTGACCTTGAGGTTCACAGCCTGATTCATAACCACTACGCTACCAGAGCTCCTTGCACTATACTGTAGTCTGTTAAAAAGAACCCTGGTCATGTGGTGCTGTTGGATAAGCACTGGACTACTAAACACATGTGCAGCAGTTCAAACCCACCAGCCACTCCTTGGGAGACAGATATGTAGATTTACAGTCTGGGAACCCTGTACAGGGTCACTATGAGTAGGAACCAGCTCAGTGGCGGTGAGTTGAGTTGTAATCTGTTAAGTGAGCAATCGCATCATGAAAAGGCTTGAAGTCTTATGAGAATGATCCTGATGGGACACAGACAAGCAGTGAGCACAGACTGTTGGAAATGGCTTCAATCGCCTAGATCTGCTCAGGATGGCTACAAACCTCCAATTTGTAAACAATGCAGTGTCTACAAAGCACTGGTAAAAATGAGGTGGTCCAGAGCTCGTTTAATGTGAAGTGGGTGTTGTTACTGCCCCCAGTTTACAGATGAGGAAGCTGAGGTCTCACCTGAGAACGGCAGGGGTCTTTGTATCTCCGGTGATGCAGGTCAGGGAAGGAACAGGCTGACAAGCCTCGTCATTTTCACAGGATTAAGAGCTCTGGAATCCCTGGGGAGCGTAAACCATGAACGAAAGCTCTTGGTTGCTCACCTCAAGGTTGGTAGTTCGAGTCTACCCAGAAATGACTTAAAAGAAAGATCCAATCATAAAACACTTGGGCTAAGTCCACGTCCGAGAAGCTGAAAAATTACTGAATTCTTGTGCTTGTGTAGGAGAAACTGGGGCGTGTTTTCTCAGCCAATGTGTGCATTGGAAATGTCCTATCCTCACGATACAAAATGAACTTTGAAAATCCAAACAAATAGCCTTTGAAAGCCCTATAGAAAGTATATGATTTGTTGAATGTAAAACTGATGATCTGCTCTACACATCTTCACTCAACTGTCAATAAAAGGTTAAAAAAAAAAAAGAAAGGAAACCCCTATAAAGCCCAGTTCTGCTCTGACACACATGGTCACCATGAATTGGTGTCGACACAATGGCAGCTAGTTGAAAGTTCTGCATCCCAGGAAGTCCTCAGTCCCAGGCACACCAGCATGACTGGCCACCCTGTGGAGGTGAAGCCCCCAGGTATGTCTCTGAAAGGCGGGTCCATGTCTCCACCCCAGCTGGGACCCCATCCTGGGCTACATCAATGAGCAGTATGAACGGTACCTGCAAGAGGAGATTCTCATCACCCGCCAACGCCACATCCCTGACACCCGGGTACACTGTTGTGTGTACTTCGTGCCGCCCACCGGGCATTGGTGAGGTGGCAGAGCCAGGTGGGGTGGGGGACACCTGCAGGGAACAAGGGGAAAGAAAAGGGGTCCCTGAGTGGGCTGTGGGATGGTATGCCCCCTTCACTCATGATCATTGCCCCCTACCCCTCGGGGGACAGCCTGAGGCCCCTGGACATTGAATTCCTGCAGCGGCTGTGCCGGGCAGTGAACGTCGTGCCTGTGATTGCCCGTGCCGACAGCCTGACCCTGGAGGAGCGAGAGGCCTTCAGGCACAGAGTGAGCTGGGTGCACGGTGGGGAGGGGCAGGGCAGGGAGGAGGGACAAGGTAGGCTGATGTCACCTGTGTGATGTCTCCAGATCCAGCAAAACCTGAGGACACACTGCATTGACGTATACCCGCAGAAGTGCTTCGATGAGGACGTCAATGACAAAATCCTCAACAGCAAGATTCGGGTAGGAGCTGTGGAGTTGAGGGGAGAGAGGAGGCCGGGAAACTAAAGGCTAACGCTGGGTGGTTTCTTCCTTATCACCCTTCCCATCTGCACATCACTGTACAGTTAGAGGGATCATTCAGGTATTTCCAGCAGGTCTGACTCTCC